AAAAACAGGGCAGAAAGATAAAAGTAGGCTGATAAACTTTTAAGCAGCATGATATCACAGAAAGCGCAGCAATTAAGAAACTCCAGTCTGGTCCCAGCACAGCCACTATAGCTGGACCATATATGCACCAGCCACTTAATCTTTAAGACTCACTCACTTCTCTGATAAAAAAGTAGAGGGTCAGGGGAGGTTGATCTGGATGTGTCTTACATCTGTTCCAGTTTCAAAAAACAAAAATCCCAAAAGCAGCAACAGCAGCAACAACAACATTCTATTTCTTTCTTTCTTCCTTTTTTTTTTTTTTCGGTCTTTTAGAGGAAGGGTTTTGCTATGCAGTTCAGGCTGGCCTTGAGCTCACTTTGTAGCCCAGGCTGGTCTGGAACTCACTATGATCTTCCTGCCTCAGCCTCCTAAGTGCTGGGATTACAGGCCTGTGCCACCATGCCTGGCCAATAACATTCTAAATTCTACTCAATATTGTTAAATGCTATTCTGCCAAGCAAATGGTGGATATTTTTAAAAAATACAACCCTTTACACCAGATACAATTCAACTACAGTGGTACCTCAGTTCACAAACTTAATTCCACAATTCTGGTTCAGTTGCAACGAATCAATTCTGTGACCAGAATTGTGGAAAGAATTAAATTTGTAAGCTAAGATATCAGTATATTTCAACAAGTGGTATCATATTAAAAATAAACACTAAAAATAAAAAACAACAAGTCTTCTGTTTTGAATACAAAACAGGCAGTGGAATGGAAATAAACTGAGAAGAGACTTTTGCTTCAACATATCTACAGGATATGGATCATTTTACATGTTGTTAAGTCAGGTTTGAATTCTCTCCCTTAACCAGGAAACTAAAACAACAATCACCAACAAGAATCCTCACAGTCTTAGGTTATACTTGAGAGGGATCTTTGTGCCACAGGCAAACAAAACTGCTGACCCTCTGCTCACAGGCCCTGCAACTCCAGGACAGCAGCCATTCACGTGCTGCACCCTGATCTGCTCCACCTTATACAGTGACTGCTGATGACCATGCAGCCTGCCATGGAATATTCCACACCATAGGAAAACAAGTGTTAGCTAAGGCAGAAAGGTGATTTTGATGTAATTTCAGTGAAGAAAGGAGAATACCAAAACATGTAAAACTCTAAAAACACAAAGCAAGAAAGAATTAGGAAACTGAACATATTAAAATTAAAAACTGTTCTGCAAACGAAACTGTCAATAAAAGATAAGCCTCAGACTGAGAAGAAATGTTTCCAGATGACATCTGATAAAAGACTGTTACCCAAAATATACAATGAACTCTTAAAACTCAACAGTAAGAAAACAAATACCTTGACTTGAGGACAAAAAAAGACCAGACTTTAAGAAACACATCACGTAAGGTATTTATTTATTTATGTATGTATGTATGTATGTATGTATTTATTTATTTATTTATTGTTTTTTGTTTTTGTTTTTCTTCCGGTACCAGGAACCAAACTCACAACCTTGCGCTTGCCAGGCAGGTGCTGTGCTGCTGAGCTAAATCCCCAGCCCCCACGTAAGGTATTTAGATGGCAAATAAACATGCACAGCTGGGCATGGTGTTGCACACTCAGGAAGGAGAGCCGTGAGTCTCAGGCCAACCAAGGCTGCACAGTGTGTTCAAGGCCAGCCTAAAGTACATAGGGAGAGCCTGTCTAAAACAAGACAAGATGCTCCACACATCATATGTCACCATTTACAGCAGTTTTATTCAAAACTGCTAAGGCAGGAGGAGGGCCGTGAGTCTCAGGCCAACCAAGGCTGCACAGTGTGTTTAAGGCCAGCCTAAAGTACATAGGGAGAGCCTGTCTAAAACAAGACAAGATGCTCCACACATCATATGTCACCATTTACAGCAGTTTTATTCAAAACTGCCCAAACTTAAGAGTAACTAGAATGTCTTTCAGCAGGTGAAAAGATGTACTGTGGTACATCCAGACAATGGAGTATCATCCAGCCCCCAAAAGAAACGAGCTGGGGATAAAGCTCAGTGGTACAAGTGCCTGCCTGGCAAAGTGTAAGGTCATGAGTTCGATTCCCAGTACCCATGTAAAAAAATAAATAAATAAAATAAAAATAAAAAATAAAAAGAGCTTCTCTAAAAAAAAAGAAAAAAGGAATGAGCTCTCAACCCATGAAAAGACATGGAGGATTCTTAAAGGAATTACTAAGTGAAAGACAGTCTAATGGGGCTATCTACTATATGATTTCAACTATCTGACATTCTAGAAAAGGCAAAATGATTGGAGATAATAGAAATATCACTGCCTGATATGGCTTAAGTGGAAATACAGAAATAAATAGGCATAACCCAGGATTTTTAGGGCGAACTACTCTGTATACTATAACAGGTGATACCTGTCATTAAATACAAGGTTTTTTGTTTGTTTTGTTTTCTTCCGGTACCAGGAATCGAACTCATGACCTTGCGCTTGCCAGACAGGCGCTGTGCTGCTGAGCTAAATCCCTAGCCCCTAAATACAAGTTTATAATGTGCATCACCAAGAGTGAATCCTAATGTAAGCCATCCACTTTGGATGATAATGATGTGTCACAGTAGACTCATCGATTGCAACATGTTGAATTTTGGTGGGTAGTGCTGATCATGGGGTTCTGGGCATATCTACAGGATGGCAGATAGGAAATATCTACCTTCCTCTCAGTTTTTCTATGAACTTAATACTGCTCTGAAAAATAAATGTATTCAAAGTTTATTAAATGAATGGACTATATTTACATTTCTCCTGTTATTGAATATTTAGGTCATTCATCTATCTATTTATTTGGAGTAATGGGGATTGAATCCAGGGCCTTTGCACTAGGCTACATTCCTAGCCCACTTTAAAAATTTTTTATTTTGAGACAGTATCTTGCTCAAGTTGCTAAACTGGGCTTGAGCTTGCAATCCTGCTGTCTCAGGCTCCAAAATGCTGGGATTATAGGTATGCACTGCCATAAATGCTCATCCTTTTATTTTTATGTTCCATTAAAAGTTGAAAATAACGCTATGGAAGTTTACAAAACTACATAAATACAATATTTTCTATCTATTTATTTATTTGACAAAATACAGTTCTCTAAAGCAGAATAAATGCCCTGGGGCCCTATAGGTCAAAACAGACCATCCGTGCCGACCAAAGAGGCATACTCCCCGGGAATGAGCAAGGGGTACAATCCACAGTAATCCTGTAGCTTACTGGACAACTGGTTGTCTGCATCCTCAATCTCTACTAAAGGCAGATCAGGTAGTGGAGTCCATCAACATCACACTGGGGTCCAAGGGAGACTGTGCCATAAACTAAGTCTTGATTGCTCTCTCTGCAACAAACAACCTAGGAAAATTGCTTTGGCTTGACTAATATTAAAATCACACAGGGGAAGGACATTAAATAGTTTGTGGCAGATGTTTCATCTACAGCATCTAGGGGATTTGTGGGAAACAGAAGGCCCACTAATTGTTCTTTTTCCCATGGGCATCTGGAGAAGGGCTGTCTGCTGAGTGTTTTCTCTGCCCAGCATGAGTGGTCAGGACATCACAAACAGATGTGGATGCTTGCCCGCCCTCACCAAGAGCAACAGCATGTTCCATAGTGCGGGAGCTATGAAACCTCTAGAGCCTGTAGCAGTAGAACTATAAATATATACAAACTATAAGTATATAGATAAATATATGCTCTTAATCCAGCTGCCAATCAGAAAGTTAAAATAAATTAACAACAGTTCATATAATTTATAACGGAACACACACATACACACATACACAAATTGTCCCTAGTCTTTAAGTAAGCAAAAGGAAGTACAACAAATGGTAACACACTGGACTGGGAGAGTTACAACTGCCCTTGCGAGTTACATGTGAGGAGAAAAACTTTGTTTCAGATCTTGGTTTCCAGGTCAAAGACCAGAGGTACAAGCAACATATTCATGCTTGCCCAACATAAATTATACAAATACAGGGAAAGTAGGTCTGAGCCAGTTAGTGCAATACACATTATTCTTTTAACCGAAGATAAGAAAGGGACCACTTGAGATTAAAATCTACATCAAACACTGCATTTGTCTATGGGGTCTTTAGAAAGACACTCTCCTTACCTAACTATCCCAGAGTTATCCAGGGGTAACTCACTTTCTAACTGCAGAAAAAGTAAACAAAACAAGCAAAGTGGTAAAGACAACTTTTTCAAGCCCCCACCTCCCCCACCTGCATCTGTTTGACAAAGAGCTTTGTACAAACGGGAATAAACTCTTTTTTTCTGGGATTTTGCCAAAAGAACTTTGACTGTGCAAACATGGAAGTGTCAGGCCTGACCCAAGAAAGACCTCTCCAATACACACGGTGCCCTCTACAAACAGCAGGAATCCGTGCTGCCCTCAGCAAACAGAACTGATGGCTGTAAGGAAATTAGGACTGGCCCTGCAAGTCTCCCTGATGCCGGTAGACACAGCTTTATGCGCACACCTGTGCTGATCATTCTTGTAGCTCCGACCTCAAACGTTCCATCCAGATTCTTTGGGACTACGACCTAAAGCTGCATATATGTAGCCTCCTCGCCAGATATTCGGGAATATCATCCAACTCCAGCCTGCCTGCGCCTCGACAACATTAAATCTAGTCTTACCCACCGTCTGTCTCTGGGTGTTTCCTCCTGCGCTGCTAATTAACAAAAAGGCCAAGGACTAAACAGCCTGTCAGCACCACCTGAAGAATCCGATCACATGCCTATCTGTCAAATGGGAAAAGTCATCACCATCACCTTTGATTCAGAACCCCACCAAACACTCAACCACTACTTCAGTGACACAGGGTGGCCTAGAAACCCATGTAAAACAAACACCAAACTTGTCACTAGTCACAGTATATGATCACAGTCCCTGCAGGCCCACTGGAGAGTGTTTGTTTTTCCAGAGCTCGTCAAGTTTATTGGAAAGTGTTGGTAAGGACACAGCTCACATACTTACCTTACCAGTGCATCTGGCTTGCTTAGCTGGTTATTAGGAATACAATTTTCCATGAGGTCCTTATGTGTACTTGGGCTCTTGCTAGTGCACTTCTGCTTCTTCTCGTTTTTACTAGATGAGGAAGGAATGCTCCCGTTTGTGGCGCTGTGACTTCGAGGGGAGGAGTTTACAACTCCGCTGGCATTTTTGTAATTTTTTGAGGAAGCAGTACATGAGTCCTCTTTCAAAAGATTTTCTGTACTTCCCACAAGATCATTATTTAATCTTTTACTATTAATATGGTTTTCCATATACTCGATTTCTTGTATTTTAGAGTCTACAGGTTGTAGAATATTGTTGTTATTTATTCCAAGGTTGTGTTTTTTGGCATCCTTGTCCTTTTCTTTCCCTTTTTCTCGATATTCTATCTCTGGCAAAGTTGTGGACAGTTTTTTGTTGGCTGGGATGCCTCCGTTGTGGTGTATAAGGATCGAGGAATCCATATCAGGTAATCCTTTGGCTGCTACAATACCAAAAACAAACCAACAAACAAAAGAAATCCATACAGGAATATTTAGCTTTTTAAATACAGACTAGATTGATTCAACAAACTGTAGCTATGCCTAGAAATTTACTATACTAATTTGCAAATGCATTTAGAAGTATAGCTGCAGTACATTATGCTAACTTCAAGAAACAAATCCAGATACATATGAAAAGCTCCACATTTAGAAAGTCACTATTACTTATGAAAATCAACCCATTAAAAGTCTGTCCTTAAAGCAAGATCAGAATTTTATATTTAAGTCAACTTCATATACATTGGATCAAATTTCTCTGTCACAGGGGTAAAAGGAGAAAGGCAGGTTATCCCCCAAAGAGGTTATATTTTAAAAGGTGCCAGGATTAAATAAACTACTAACTTTACTGAAAATAAGTTAAATGAAATAAAAAAAGGGTTGTAATTTTAGGAGATATAGACATCTATCCTCTTTCCTGACTCTATAGTGTTGAGGTTATAAAAAAGTCTGTCTTATTTACCAGGCCACTTGGTAAAGAATTTTCTGTATCAGGTCCACACATCCCAATTTGTTAAGATTGACTTGACAGGTTTTTTGTTTGTTTGATTTTGGGTTTTTTGAGACAAGGTCTCACTATGTAATGCATAGCAATTCTCCTGCCTCAGCCTCCTGAGCACTGGTATTACAGGTGTGCACCACCATGTCTGGCACTTGAGAGATATTTTTGTACGACATCAAAGAAAAAGATTTTGACACATATTAAGTAAAAATATGACCTCAGATTACCAACTCTCAAACCAGGACAACTAATATTGCTGTCAATATATCCATCTCTTACTGGTTACATGCCCACAAGAGAGGTCTCATTAGAAATTGTTAAAATTAAAACCCGCATTACATTACATGAAACAGAATAGGAACTGACTTTGCTCTATGCAGAAGACTTCTGATTTATAAAACTTAATTCCACATATCTGCATCTCTACCTTGCTTATATGTTCGTTCCTGGTTTGCTTCAATCACAAATTAAGTTACATATTATTTTGTTGTGAGAATGTATTTTTAAAATTTTATAACAAAATATTAAAATATAAAATAAAATATAAATAATTAAATGTACTTTTTTAAAAAAAGCAAATAACCTTCAGAGAATGGGTTAAAAACTTTACACTCTACTTCATGACCAAAAACAAAATAAAACAAAAATAATCCCAGGGAAGAACACAAAAAAAAAAAAAAAAAAGAAAAAAAAAAAAAAAAGAAAATCTAAAATGGTAGCTATTTTTCCTAAAAAGAAAATTGTTTTGAGAGACAAAATCATGACCAGGCTGTTAGGCCAAAAGCTTTAGGGTAAAGACCTACCTTCCTCGGCCTCTTTCTCTTGCTTCTGTAGCATCTGTTGCTCTGGAGGGAGAGCCTGCTGAAGCAGCTGCATGTAAAATTCGTTCTCCTTTTGCACTTCCTTCTGCTTCCTTAATCTCATTTTGTAGCTCACATAACTTTTGAAGCCAAAGCCCAAAGTCACCACAGGGTACCCAATACTAGAAAGAAGACAATCCAGCCAGTAATTGCAAGCTTTAAAACAAACAACACATGTGACAAGAACACAAGATATCTATGACTTAAACTTAGAAAATAATTCCTTAGAATTATGAAGTAAATTCTAGTTGATGATGGCAGCCACAGATAGCATTCAAAAAACAAATAAATCTGGTCTGCTGTGGCAAGCAGAGGCAGCCACCTGTAGACAAATCCCTGAGGAAGAATAGACTACCAGGCTGTATGAAAGCACTTCCCATTAGAGTTCAGTGTTCTTTAATTCAAGAGATCACCACAATGACAGGCAGACACACTGGGTAACAGTCTTTGAAGAAACACTGAACTGTCTTATGCTTTAGAACTTAGGCATCTGTATGGTTTTAAAAATTAAAAAGGTAGCAAGGGAGATAGCTCAGTGGCATATGCGCCTGCCTGGCAAGCTCAAGGTCTTGAGTTAGATTCCCAGTACCAAAAAAACGACAACAACAACAACAAAAAAACCCAAAAATTAAAAAGGTAGAGATTTTATGGGTAGCCAAAAGTAAACATATTAAGTTTCAAAAAAAAATCAAAAGGACATTATTTGGTCTTAAAACAAGAAGGCAGGGCCAATTTGAAGCAGCTACTTTCACCTTCTTGCTGCCTGTGGGGTAAATGTCACCACTTATTCCTACAAAATTAGTTCATAAATACTCCATCATACATAAATTCAAGAATCATTTAAGTAAGTATCTAATACCAGTTCTAACATTTGGGTTATGCCACCAAATTAAATCAGGTGTACTTACAACTATAATCTCTGGGACAGAAAGTTGAAATATTTTCATTCATCTCATCAGCTTGCCTAATACTGTTGTAAAGCTTTTGCAAACATTGTCAAACCTGTATTAAGTTTCATTAACATTAAAACTTATCAGTTCATAATTACAAATTTTAAGTTACAAGTTTTACTTACTAGGTTTATTTAATTCACTTGTGAAAAGACTAAAAATACCAGAAATTATTTTTTTAGTAGGTTCTGATTTATTCTGGGTTTTGCCATCAAATATGAGCAAAAATGGGCATGTTTAGGACAAACATATTAAGTGGTGACTTTCATACTATTTATAAATAAAACTCAAGCTCATTTTCAAAAATGTTTCTGGCTAAGTTTACATGAAAAATATTCAATTTTATATTTCATAAGGAGAAATAATATTCTTTTTAAATTAATAATATTATCTCCTATAAATGGGCTAAGAAAATTCTAAATTCATTTAAGCTTCATAAAACAGCCATATATTTCACCAAGAGTTTTGGATCATTCACAGATTATAATAAAAGTAAGTAATATTCATCAGATACCAAAGTGTTTGGCCTTAAGTTAAACATTTTATGTACAGTGTCCCATTTCCTCTTTCTCGTGACCCTAGGAGACAGGTAAGAAAGCTGAGGGTTAGAAAAAATGCTACAAGTCAGGCACAGTGGTGCACGCCTATAATCCCAGCACTCAGGAAGCTGAGGCAGGAGGGTCACTGCAAATTCGAGGCTAGCCTGGGCTACATAATGAGTTTGAGGCCAGCCTGGACTACATACTGAGACCCTGTCTGAAAAGGAAGGAAGGAAGGGAGGGAGGGAGGAAGGAAGGAAGGAAGGAAAAAAGGAAGGAAGGAAGGAAGGAAGGAAGGAAGGAAGGAAGGAAGGAAGGAAGGAAGGAAGGAAAAAGAAAGAGACCAATGACGCACTCAGCAACACAGCTGTCAGGGAAAGAGCTGGGATTCCAGCATTAATCTACTTGAAAAGAGGGCCCGTGCTCTTTATTGCAGGCTATATGTCTTCCAGGGCCTAGGTACAGTTTCTGAGAAAAACTACACAGCTGAACTTGCCATTCCACACTGGAATGGATTAGAAATCAAGACTATAAATACTTACCAGTGAGCAGCAAATGGACGACAAAGGTCTACATGAAAATTTTTGAGATCTTTAAATCTAATTGCTGCTTCAATATAAACAAAGAGTATCCAGAGGGACACTGTAGGCAAACACACTCCCCTTTCTGTGGAAAAGCAGTAGAGAGATAAGCATCAATAACACATTAACTAACACAACAGTTGGGTTGTTTGGGAGACTGATTCAACTATAGTAACCTCCACTGTAAGACTTTCAACTAAAGTAAAAAGCAATTTAACCCAAACTAAAAGCTTTTATATGACAATTTCACAGAATCACTAACAAAAATAAATAGCAAACATTCTGGCAGAATATATTCAGAATATATATAAAAGATTCATAGATCTGACATACAAAGAGCTTCTACAAATCAATAAAAAGAAAATGAAGCTGAGTGTAGAGGCATGTGCCCACGACCCCAGCACAGGGGAGGCTGGGTAGGAACGCTTGAGACCAAGCGCTACAGCAAGTATGCACAACAAGGGTCTCTGTCTCAAAATGAAGGGAGGTGCAGGTGGGGAGTGAGGAGTACAGCTTGGTGGGAGAGTACACACGGAGCACGTGCAAGGTCTTGGGCTTGATTCTTAGCACCAAACAAACAAAACACCAGAAACTATAGAAGAAAATCTGCAAATTTTCATAAAAGGAGAAACACAGATGGCTAAAAAACATGAAAAATCCTCAACTTTACTACTGAGAAGGGAAATATAAATTGGATTCCTTTTCTTAACTATTAGGGAAAAATTTTAAAGGTAACTATGAAGGAAAAGTATTAAGGTTTATTCTCATATTTAACAACAATATAAACTATGGCAACTTTTAAAAACTGACAGTATAATTAAATTTAAAATACTTGTACTTGTAACCCAGAAATTTCACTTTTGGAATTTACCCTACAGAAATACAAAAGAATCTTAAGATAAATATATAAAAATAGTCACTATAGTATTATTTGCAATAGAACAATTTAGAATTTAAATGCCCATCCACAGGGAACTATTTAATCATGATAAATCTACATAATGAAATATGGTGCAGATTTTCTAAAGAATGAAGACCCTTACTGTCATGAAATGATGTATTAAAAGTAAAATTCTTAAGTATAAATAAATTCTTAAGTATAAATAAAAGCTGGGCCTGGTGGTGCACGCCTTTAATCCCAGCACTTGGGAGGCTGAGGATTGTTTCAAGTTCGAGACCAGCCTGGGCTACAAAGTGCGCTCCAGGCCAACTAGAACTGCATAGTGAACCTGTCTCAAAAAGACAAAAAAAAAAAAAAAATTAAGTTGTAGGACCAAGAACATTTTCCTAACATTTAAGCATTATTTAAAATTTTTTTCTTAACCAGAAGCTCATACTCCTCTTGTAATTAAAAACAATTTTCAAGAGAGGAAAAAGCAACTTACAACAGAGAAAGTACAGATAATGTAGAAAATTTTTCACTAGGTTTTAGAATCAAAATCTAGAGACTATGCTATGACATGACTAATAATAGGATATTTATGAATATGGTTTGGTGGGGAGGGACCAAGTGAACTAAATGGAATCTTTGGGATGAAACTAAAGACAACTCATATGATCTTAAAAATTAGACAGGCCATTTAGTCTAACTTCAATAAAGCCTAGTGTTTAAGCAAATTGGGTCTAAATTCAGAGACAGGGGGCTGGGGATTTAGCTCAGAGGCACAGTGCCTGCCTGGCAAGTGCAACGTCCTGAGTTCGATTCTCGGTACCGGAAAAAAACAAACAAACAAACAAAAATTCACAAAGATAGCACTAAGTTGGCTTCTAAAGAAAACCCAAGTCTCCTCAAACTTAGCCCCTGAGTTAAGTCAACAAAGAAGCTCTGTGAAGGCAGCTCCTGACTGCAATCATTCTTATGGGTTTAACTTTATCGAAACTGGGTATTTTCACAGTATAGAAAGAAAAACAGCAACTACAGTATAATGCATTTTCAAAGTCATTTCAAAAATGTTTATTTACTACTTCCCATACTGAAGTTACTATAATAATATGCACATTACAGAAAAACTATACAAAATACCTATATTTCTACAATTATTAAATGAAAGTATATTGAGAGCATTTCCAAACAAATAATCATGTTATAAATTTTGTTTTGTTTTGTTTGTTGGTACCGGGAATCAAACTCAGGACATGCCAGGCAGGTACTGTGCCACTGAGCTGTATATCCCAGCCCTTTTTTTTATCTTCGAGACAGGGTCTCACTATGCAGTTCAGGCTGGTCTTAAACTCACTTTGTAGCCCAGGCTGGCCTGGAACTCACAATGAGCCTTCTGCCTCAGCGTCCCAAGTGCTGGGATTACAGGCGTGCGCCACCACACCTGCCACAAATTTGGTTTCATATCTGGGCATCTTTTAACACAAGGAAAAGTTTGTAATATAGTATCATTTTTTGTTGCCATATATGATTTTTTTCTTTTCTTTCATTTCAGACAGGGTCTCACTAGGTAGTGCAGACTGGCCTTGAACTTGCTTATGTAGCTCAGGCTGGCCTCAAACTCACAGCGATCCTCCTGCCTCAGCCTCCTGAGTGCTGGGATTATAAGCGCACGCCACCTCGGCTGGCAGCCATATATAATTTCATCAACCATTCCCTAATATTCCTATGAAAGAAGTTTAACTGGAAAAAAAATCAGCCCCAAGTTATATAAATTGCACTCACATCTGTCAGGCTCAACAAGAATGCAAATTTTTATTTTATTTTGTTTCAGCTTTAGTTGTTCCAAATTAAAACATATTTCACAATTTAGCCATTCCAATGTGCACTTCTGAGCCTATGAATAAAGAGAGGCCACAATAACTCTATGACACCACCCACTGAAGTAATTCCCAATAGGCCGTATGAAGAGTTACATAGTCTACTCTCTGCTACTAAATATTGAAGAAATTCAGGGAACTGCCATAGTTCATCAGAGTCCCAGAACATCTGAGCTGGAAGGCTCTTTTAGACATTATCTAGCGTATCCCACTTTCACACAACATGGGACCTAGAGGAAGGAACAAGTATCCAAGTGACAATGCACTCAAAATTGGTGCCCATGGCAAGGAATGCAAGTAAAAACTAGTGCAAAGAAAATGAACTAGAGGGAAGCAGACTAGAGAAGGTCCAGTGTCCGTGGTAGCTTATAAGTCTACTCAGTCACAAAACAGGGCTAAATATGCAGAAAACCGTGCTCACAGTGGACACTTTGGGTAACAGGACTCAACTGTGCCCTCTTCATGGGCCAACACCATCCTCTTAGCAGCTTTGACAAGAGGACGAATGCTGCTGCAGAGAGCTCTTATTATTTGGTGCTCTCTCAGTGGTCAACATCCTACAGGTCGCAGCTGGGCCTAAGAATCAAATTTCATGTAGCTTTGCAGACAAGCATGACCCTGAAAGCCAATCCTCAAATCCCAGTGCGTGCCACATTCAGGTTTTCCCAGCGGACTGTTGCTGTCTAAATATCTCATCTGATCTTGGTTTGAAGTAACAGTGTAGCTCTAAGAAGAAAGGATGTAGCTGTGTAGCTCTACTCTAGTTAGAACATACCTGAAATACAGAACACAAAACCACTAAGAACTACGGAGGCCAGGATGGTGAGAAGAATGAAGAGGATATGACAAGGGCTTCAGATCTCTAAAGACATGTTAACCTGATGGGAAGATTATATGCACTCATGAGTGCCTCTGGTGTGAAGGTTCCTAGTTTTAAGGTAAAGTTTTGTGTATTTCTGTATGTTTTTCTCGCGAAAGTCTTTTTAGGACCTCTTAAGAATCAATGGGTCCAAAAATAGTTATGACACACTGAGTATGAGGAGGATGAAACAATAATTGACAGGGGATATGCAGTCACGGACTTTGGCTCTGACCTTTGACCCTTGGTGGCTTTGAATCATTCCTATATTAGGGTATACAGGATCACTGTAAAACACTGTGATTAAAGAAATAAATCTTACACAGAGAAAAAATATGAGGGCATTTCTGGCTCAGCATGAGAAAGAACTTTCTATTACAGCAGTCCCCAAATGAAATAGGGTACCAGGAATGACAGGTAAGTTGTTTTGTCATTTCAGGTTTTCAATCTGAGGTAAAACTTTCGCTGGGCATGGTGGCGCATGCCTGTAATCCCAGCACTCCAGAGGCTGAGGCAGGAGGATCACTACAAGTTGGAGACCAGCCTGGGCTACAAAGTGAGCTCAAGGCCAGCCTACATAGTGAGACCCTGTCTCAAAAAGACAAAAACAAAAAAAACTTTCATATGCCAGGGAGGCTGTGGGGATTCTTGTATCCAATTATGGGTTTACCTACATGTCCTCTGACATTCTTTTCAATAATGAAAATTATGAACATTTTTCTAATTTGGCACATACCACTATTCCTAAACAGAAGTCATTTCAATGTTTAAAAAAAAAAAAAGAAAATGTATCTCTTCATAATAAGTGTTGGTAACTGAAATGTCTACAATTGAGGTATGAAATCATAAAGGCTGAGACTTTTGCTTCAAATAATAAACAAGTATTTGTAAAATTATAATCTACTAAGAGAAGACAATTTTTAAGTATCTACATAAACTCAATTATAAATTATTTTAAAACATTTTAAAATCTTGAAATCTAATATTTGTATCTGAGAAATTAATAAGACTTACCTGTGTGCCATACATACTGAACCCATACATATGTGCTAGCAGCAAAAAAAAGCCATTGTATGGGAATGAAGAGCAGACATATTATATTTGATGTGAATGCTACACAAACAAAAAATACTGAGAAGGCCTAAGGGAAAAACAAAAATTACACATTTTAGAACTTGTTATTTTCAAACACAAGTTGTTAAAAGCTTATTGAACAAAATTATTGAATACAGAGCAAGTTAACAAGAAATTTTAAACAATGAAAATCTACCACATAAAAAGAAATGCTTAATTCAAGATTGTAATGAGTAATACTACTTATAGTCCTTAAATCAGGAATAACGGGACCAGAGCAAAATGAAGGTGGACCACACTGAGCTTATTTGGATTCTACAGGTAGATTACCTGAAAGAACAAGAGGTTTAACAGAAAAGCCTTCTTTCTCCTCACAAACATTCCTAAAGTGCCTCGTTATTAAAGCGTAGGCTTGTTGGAATACAGATGAACCGTAATATTAGTAAGAACTATGCTGATATTAGTAACTGTAATAATGCAGCCCTCCTCAGATTACCACTACATATTACCAACTGGATATAAGCTTGAAACCATCTTTTTAAAGCATGGATTTGTTCTGACCAAAGCACCAGGCCTATACCAGGTTGTAGTTTTAAGTTGTGGCTACGAACACAACAGAAATAACACATAAAGGAAATGAACAAGCCCAGGGCTAACCCCTTGCTCTAACCCAGTAGTTCTAGAGATGCAGTCTAGCAATTTCTGGAAGGTCTCTGAGATCCTTTCAGAGGTCTTTGAGGTCCTCTACTTTCACAAAACTACTTTCACAATAATACTAACAGGTGATCTGACTTTCTCATACTCATTTACTCTCGAGTAATGTGCAAGTTTCTAGAAGTTATATAACATGTGAGTTGCAACAGACTCAGTTCAGAAGCAGGTATTAAAATCTATCTGTCTTCTACTGAGCCAGGCATTAAAGATACTAGCAAAAATGGAGCCACTATTCTGTTTTTGAAAATATACTTGTTTTTCATTTTAAAATGTAATTTGGTTGGGGGTGGTGGTACATGCCTATAATCCTAGCCCTCTTGGAGGCTGAGGCAGATCACAAGTTCGAGCCCAGCTTGGGCAACTTAGTGAGACTCTGTTTCAAAATAAAAAGGGTCGAGGATATAGCTCAGCACAAAGATGCTGTGTTCAATTCTCAGTACCACTGGGAAAAAAAGAATAAAAATATAATTTGTATTACTATGTAAAGGATTACCACTATTCACTAGATTAATAAATACATATTTTTAATTTTCCCAGTTTTAATTTCTAATATAGAAAATATGGATAAGTGTAACCCACATGAACAAATGGTCTTTGGAGCCCACAATAATTTTTAAGAGTGCCTAGTCAGGTGTGGTGCCACATACCTGTAATCCAAGCACTCTGGAAGGCTGAGGCAGGAGGATTAAATGTTAGCGCACAGCCTGGGCAATTTATCAATTTAGCAAGAGCCTGTACCAAAATTTTAAAAACAAAGGGCTAGGGATACAGCTCAGTGAGAAGGCCCCCGGTTCAGGCCTCTGAACTGGAAGGGGAGGGGTGTTTGCAGCAGGGTCCTGAGACCAAAGTTTAAGAATCACTGCTCCAACTTTAACTCAATCACTAACATTGTTCACAGGGATTCCAGCGACACTCCAGAGTAGGACTGGGCAATTATTATTTCCTCTACTATTATTTCTACTCTCCCCCTACTGAAGTATGAGACTCAATGTCTTCTTTCTGCTGGAATGAGAAAAGAGGAAAAAAATACCACAATCTTATGAGTGGGTAGACAAAACAGCACAAGAGGCCAGTTTGAGCCCATAGACCCTATTAGTTCATCACAAGACAATCACCTACTACATATTGCTAATAAAATTTACTTTAAATGGGTTACCATCACCTAGTGGAGATTTTCTCAGAAGGGTAATTAAACTCCTCATATAGCTGGAAAGCATATATTAGTGAACATACCAGTCCCTGGTATCTGAAGGAATCATAGACGCTTCTGATGAAAAGCCAGAATGGCCACAGGTATTCAAATCTGAACTCCAGGACAAAATCTGCAAGGAGGACAAGTGCCCACACTACCAGGAATTTCAGATATAAAAATGTACTGCAAAATATAAAAATAAAGAAAGTCATTTGTGAAGAAGTAGAAATAGGAAATGTACTGTTTCTGTCTAAAAGAGACAAATACAACATCATTTGCCATGAACACAATAGAGATAAAGCACAAGAAGATACGCTGCCGTGGTCTATCTGAATTTTAAAAGCTCTGGTGTTCATTCTGCAACTCATAAATATCAAGATATCATGATGACCAAAAATGCTTACTTCCATTTAAGATGGAAAAAGACATTTAAATTTCACCACTCGAAAAGTGTGCTAAGTGTCTGACTTTAAAATACTGCAACACTCTCAAAATTACAGCTTTCAAGCTGTTCTTCATTAGAAGAAAATGTCACAGTTGGAAGGCTTCACATGTGCGCTTTCCCACCCCTCTACATCTGTTTTACAGTCTTTGAAATTCTTGATAGACACCCGTACATGCTTGAAGAATTCCACCCTTTCCCCTGCTTCTCTTGCCTCTCTGTACAGTATTCATCCACATTTACCAAACAAAAACCAAATGAATTCACAAAACAGATAGAAACCTACTTAGGGAGAACATTCTGATTATTACCATTGACTACGAGGGCACAAAAATGTACACTGAAGAAAAACTCTTCAAGCATTCAGGTCTTGTTCTGGCTGAGATGTAAATAAACCCTCCCAGTTCCCACTGGATTCAAGTTAAACAGAAATACACTTTGAAAGGTCAGTTAGGACACATACCTAACCACTGCTCAAAATGAGGTAAAGATATGGATAAAAAAATTATTTTTCATATAATGTGAAACTCCATTTTCTAGTTCATTAGTTGCATACTAGGTAATAGAAGCCTTTCTTCTAACTATTAATAATTTATATTACTATGATCCCAATCCCACCAATTCTCGAGTTACAATTTAGGTATTAAAAGAGTTTTCTAAAGTATATAGGCTGGAAATACCTAAAACTTACTTTGATTTGTCTAGAGTAGTGCATACTATTTTTCAAGACCAATATTCCAATTTAGCTATTTGAAAAAATACCAACAAAATTAAGATTTCAAAGGGTGGTGCTGGGAACTGAATAGAAGCCTTGTCATGCTAAACAACACACATGGCCACTAAGCCATTCCCCTAGCCCAAATCAAGATTTTTAGCAATTTTCTGGAGACACTATCTTGCTGTATAGCTCAGGCTGACCTTAACACATTGTGTAGTCCTGGCTGGCCTCAAACATGCAGCAATCTTCATGCCTTAGCCTCCGGAGCGCTGGGGTTACAGGCACATGCCATCATGCCCAGCACTTTTAAATAATTTTATAATCCATTTCAATAAGATGCAAAAGACGTACATACTTGGGATGAAGGGTAGATAAAATCAAGATCTAGCATTGAAGATATCTTCTATACCCTTTAAGGCCACACAGGTAAAAGATACCAAGAACAGACACAACTGTCCTTTAGTCATATAGTATTTATAATATACATAATTTGCCATCTAGTGTTAATTTCTAATATTAATTCTTAGAATGTCTGGGGATTTGATAATAAGTTTTTTAAAGGTCTGCAATAAAATCAAGGAACCAAACACAAACAGAAGAGCACTCTTAAATTGAAGTCCCACCTTTAGTTTCATTTCATGAGAGGACACAGCCTTTCTTTCCATTCTCTTAATGAGTCCAAAACTGAATAGAGAGTGACACACATTTTATTAGAAGAAATACCTGAGTCACACAGGTATTCAGGATCACTAACCTATTTCAAAAAGACATTTTCAACATGCCCGACTTTAAGCAGGAATTCAAGCCAGATAAGGGCCATTAGATGAATATTCTAGAGGTTATGCCTAATAGGGAGACAGCTAAGAAGACAAAACATTTTGGTGTATCACATCACATACTGAATGCTAAAGGTGATTTGTAGTTGCCATTACCAAGAGGTCAGGAAACAGAGGATTGAGATAGATGGTTACTAGCACAGCCAGTGAAATATTCCACAGACTCATTTCTGTATCAAGGACCAACTGAACTAAATGGCCCTTAGTCTGAGCAGGGAAAAGGTCAGGTAACTAAGGACTGATGGTCTTATCCCATGGTAATTATCAGGGCTCCAAAAAAATCATCTAGGTGACTAGTAGCTAGAGATACTGGAGAAAAGGTGTATTTTACTTGGAAATGGAAGAGTGTTTAGTACTGCTTGTCATTAATCACAGATGATTAATCCATAGATAGAATTACTAAATGACTAAAAGTTAAAAATGTTTATAAATGGCATTGGTAGGAATAGAATAAAAAGACATACCTTATAGTCACTATCTACTTTGAAAGACTCACTGCCTTTAAGCATAACACTTGCATGTCTTCTCTGTTTCCTTAGTACTTACAACGGAAGTTTACAAGACCACTGAAAGTTGTTACTGTTCTGCCCTATTTCAATATATAATTTTGGACAATAACTTTTTTGCACTTATGCTTTAAAATTTGTTTTGGCGCATGTCTGTAATCCCAGCTCTTGGGAGGCTGAGGCAGGAAGATCCTTGTGAGTTTGAGACCACCCTGGGCTACAAGTGAACTCAAGGCCAGCCTGAACTGCATAGCAAGACCCTGTCTAAAAAAGACCAAAAAAAAAAGTAAAATTAAATTTGTTTAAAAAATTTTGTAAGAATTAGCAAATTTACTTGGATTTGAGAATCAAGGTAATATGTTAGGCCGAGCGTGGCGGCACATGCCTGTAATCCCAGCACTCGGGAGGCTGAGGCAGGAGGATCATTGTGAGTTCAAGGCCAGCCTGGGCTACAAAGTGAGCTGAAGGTCAGCCTGAACTGCATAACGAGACCCTGTCTCAAAAAAATAAAAAACAAAACAAAGAAAAAGGTAATATGTTAGCCACAAATCATATAATTAACCATATATAGATAGATATGTAAGTATTTTATATATATGAACCATACATATTTAATCAGATTTTCTTCATGATCTATAATAAGTATTTTCCAATGCCGTAATAGTTTATATCTCCCTTTGGAGTATCTTTATTTTTACTTTTATTGGTACTGGGACTCTAACTCAGGACCTCGCACTTGCCAGGCAGGTGCTGTGCCGCTGAGCTACATCCCTGGCCCCTATAGTATCTTTAGATTTGGCAAAATCTTAGGACCCTCACACCACAGCAGGAGAAGGATTAGTTAGGTTTCCATCCTGGTGAGCAATAACTTGATTACTTGTCTTTTCACTTTTGTACACATATCTATTGAAAGATAAAAGGCATGGTTTACTGTTAGAGAGGCCTAAGTGAATACTGAGTCAAGCAGCTCTCTTAAATTTTCTAAAAGTCCACAAGACTAAAATGACTCAATAGAGTTTAAGATTGTTCTGGAAAAAAATCAGCTTTGTTAGATAGGTTGTCTCTTGATGTTAAGAGGCAGGCCCACCTGAAAGGAGGGTCTGAGGGAAGCTGAGGGTATGTCATGTGCTCCTGAAAGATCAAGTTTTCTTAGCTATCTTTACTTCTAAACTAAGCCTCAGTAAGAACTAAGTGTCAGGAAATATCAAAGGTGTGTTTGAAAAAGGAAATGTAAAAAGAAAAAAAAAAAGTAAGTGTATATGAAGGAAACCCCTTCCCCTGAAGATACAGAATTGAAAAAGAGTAGTCATTAATGAAGATGATAATTTTTTACTGCTATACGTGTAAATGAATGAGATATTAAAAATATTCAGCAGGCTGCCACTCTTTGGATAATACTATCTAAACAGTGAAATGGAGCGCTGCCAGCCTGACAGGGATCCTGCTATTCCTTGGAGGCATTTGCGGGAGCAGATAGTGCTCTTCCTTTTCCACGAGAGGAACGGTAATGACTAGCCATGACGTAGGTCACGTATCACTGAGCAACATTCCAGAGCCAACTCCATGGGAAAAAGAAGCAGGAGAATATGTACATTTCCAGGCTTTTCTCCACTTTCCTCTTCCCTCCACCTCCCTCCTGCTTTTTCATTCTCTTCCTGCCTCTTCCTTTTATTCCTCCTGTTCCTCTTCCTTCTTTCTTCTCTTCCTCCTCCTCCAGTGCAGGGAATGGAACTCAGGGCCTTGTGAATGCTAAGAAAACACTGCTACTGAGCTACAACCCCAACCCCATGCCATTTTCTAAATGCTTTAAAAACATGGCCAAGAGTCTGTCCTTCTGTCTTTAATACCTAGAAATAATTCTAGGCACAAGGAAAATTCCTTTTAGTTTTAATTCTCACATGATAGTCTTCCAACTCTAAGCACAGTCCATGGCCCAGCAGCATCAAAGCATAATGCATGACAGCCCAGCGGCACAAGCACCTACCTGGCAAGCACAAGGTCCTGAGTTTGATTCCCAGTAAAAAAAAGAAAAAGAAAAAATATTGCCAGGTGTGGTGATGCACACCTGTAATCCCAGTACTGGGGTGGGCTGAGGCAGGAGGATCTCTGTGGGTTCGAGATCAGCCTGAGTATGACCTTGGCTGGGCATGGTGGCACACCCCTATAACCTCAGCACTTAGGAGGCTGAGGCAGGAGGATCACTGCAAGTTCAAGACCAGCCTGGGCTACAAAGTGAGCCCAAGGCCAGCCTGAACTGCATAGAGACCCTGTCTCAAAAAGACCAAAAAAAAAAAAGAGAGAGACCAGCCTGGGCTACAAAGTGAGCCCAAGGCCAGCCTGAACTGCATAGAGAGACCCTGTCTCAAAAAGACCAAAAAAAAAAAAAAAAAAAAAACCAAAAACAAACAAAAACAAAAACAAACAAACAAACAAAAAAAAACCCAACAAAAAAAACCCCATAATGTATGAACTTTTTACAAAAGCAGAATTTCTGGGCCCACTCCAAACCTATTGAAGCTTGCACTTTAACCAGATCCCTATACCAATTATACGTACATTAAAATTTGCAAAGCACCAGTATCACACTATAGTTTGAATGTCTCCTCTGAAACTCAGGTAATCCTTAATTTCATATATTAATGGTATTTCAAGGTGAGGCTTTGGGAGGTAGGTGGGATTGG